GAACATTGGGGGCTGTGACCCCCAAACTGGGAGAGTGGCTCCAACAGATCCCAGGAACAACATCTGAGATCTCTGTCCAGAAGAGTGCAGTCCTAGGAACAGCTAAGATACTGCGCAGGACCCTCAAGCTCCCAGGCCTCTGGTAGAGGACCCGAGCTTGAAGGAAGGAATACAAGACCGCCCCAAAGTGGGGGGCAAGTGGGGGAGTTTTTATATTACACACACACACACACACACACACACACACACACTTGTTTGTCTGTCTTTGGTTGTAAGACTTTGCTTCTTGACTGCATTGCCAGAGAATCATGAACTCCTGAACACCTGATTATGGCATTAGATGAAAAGTTAAGGGACCACCACAATAAACAACTGACCCTGAGGCGAACATGATGATCTGTACCTAACTTCATGGCAACTGATCAAAGGCTTCTGTATCGCAGAAATGGCGGACTACCTGACCACGCCAGCACTGCCACACTAGCAGTGTGGCTTTAGTGTCATTTTAAATCATTTTTCCACACTTTTTAGTTTCAACAGCATCCATATCAGTCATGAGAGAACAACTGTAAGAAGTGTTCACTCTACAGAGTCTCAGTGTCACAAAGACAAGGAACACAGCACATGTGACTTTTAACCACAAGACAGCGCTGATAGAACAGGACCAATCAGAGTTCTCTGTCAAAGCATAGGTCATGGCTGAAGACTTTTCTGGAGCATTCTTTACTTCCTTCTTATGTAACTGCCTGGCTCTGAGTGCCTTGAGGGGCTTAGGGCTGACTGTGCGTGTGAAGCAGGCTATTCTTCACCAGAAGAATGGGTGAGGGGGTTACAGAGGTGTGAATGAATGGTCTCCCTCTCTGTCTCCTGGCCCATATAACAAAAGTGGAGTATCTAAAGTTTCACACTCTCCTAAATGTCCCAACTACCATTGACCTGACAATGGTGCAAGAATTTATAGCAAACTGCAGGGCCCTACTGAAAACTATTTTTCAAAGGGTCATATCGCCCTACTACTGTGAGATATACTGAAGATGTGTAAAAGTATGTGTGTTGTCATATCAACTGTCTTTACATGCTTGAAAGAATAAATCAAATCAAATATACTGAAGAGGTCTCTACATTGCAGAAGGAATGTCTGTTTCACTTCATTTTAATTAGCTTTTTCAGGCACCATCAACAGTATGTTAACTACATGTAATCCAAGCATAAAGTAGTTGTAGTGATAAACCACGTACTACAGCTGGAAGTAGGTGATCCTACTTCCAGATACAGTTACTTTACCTGTTGGACTGACCGTTGACTTCCACAGCTGCAATAAAACCACAGAGTGCTGTCACTGATGAATTACAGTAAGATGTAAAATTAACTGCTCTCATTGAGGAGAACTTAACTCCTCTGTAATCTGGTTTTTTATTTTCTATCCCTGCTGCAACATAATTATGATGCTAAGCTAAATCAATGATAAGGGAAAACACTGAGCAAAGACATACTGTAAGTTAAGCCATGTCTTTCAGACAAAATCGGATATCTAAATGACACAACTACTCTTTATTTCCCCTAGGATTGTTTTATCAGATGTCAGACAGACCATCATCCACTCTTATTTAGGAACATGTCGATATCATACAATAGGGTCTTATAGGCATCATTTCCCAGACAGCATCTCAAATCTAATTCCATGTTTTTTCTGATTACACCGAGGCTCTCACTAGAGTAGGAGATGCTAACATTAGCCATATGAGTTTCTTTGTAGCCTAATCTTATTCCCTCACAATTGGATAAGCACGCCTTTGTTGTCAGTTTCAGCAGTGCGTTTGTGTGTGTGTGAGTGAGTAAGTGAGTGTGAAACACAAAGACAGCCTTTCAGAGATGGTGCTTGCACATGCTCCTTTGAGGGAGGCGGAATCCACCGCTACAGTGACAAATAGTGTCATCCCACCCTGGTGAGGATGAACAA